CTTCTCAAAGCCGTCTACTCAAGCACATCAGGCCGCGTCAAGGTCTATGATCGCACCTCTCCTTCATTTACCATCACAAGCGGAGTTCGATAAGGGTGCCCGGCTTCGCCCTTCCTCTTTAATTTCGCAATAGACAAAATCCTAAGCAGTACTCTAGATAACTATAGATCTTCCGGTGTGGAGCTCCTCCCAGGTGATCGACTCCGTGACTTTGAATATGCTGACATCGTTTTACTCTGCGACTCCTCCCAGGACACCCAAAACGTCCTGTGTAAGTTAGCGCTGTCCGTCACGCAGTTCGGTATGACGTGATTTCGGCAGGTATCCCGTCCTCGCCGGGAAATTTCCGTGGCTTGAGATGGCTGATGATAAAACTTCTTCTACTGATAGCGGAGCGCAGTTAGCTTTGTATGGAGAAGATGGCGAGAAGGGCCCATACGGAAGTTGGACTTGAGGGCGATTAAGAAGACTGAAGTGTTTTACCCACCGAGATATTTTTCCTTGCGCATCAAAAATGAGCTCGCTGGAGGCGCTGCGCAACCCAGACTGGGTGACCTGAACACCCAAATATTCTTTTTTGTACCTGCCACTGGAAGACAAACCTAAACATCGTTTATCTGCATACCACTGGGTTCTTTGAGATTTTCCCATACCATGGAATGACGAAGAGTAGAGAGGACACTCAGTTACGAAAACTTACTTTTCCGTGGCAATGTTGCAATTGCAACTGGACAGGGTGACCCCACAGTGGCGTGGATATACTGCTTGCTTATGGGAACTGCTAATCTGTGACTTGAGATTAAAAATAGCGAACTACATAAAAACCCCATAAGGAATTCTACTGGCCTACGGTAATTGACAGCAAGCTGAACATCGTCACACGACAGTGATGCATAAACATGAACACTGGTGACCACTGGCTACCAAGTAGACCAAGGAAACTTACTTTAATTGTGGCATCTTCGCTAGCGGAGACAAAGACATTGTAATGGGGATGAAAGACAACGCGCGTAACGGGTGAACGATGACCTGTGAGAGTAAATTTGGCAGGTGGTCGAGGAATCGCATCAGCCGCACGGCGATCGCCTCGTCCAGTTAAACCGCTACCAGGAGCAGCTCCGGGTGGAACAAACCCAGCAGCAGCCTGCATGGACTGGAATTCACGCTCAGCTTCATTTAATTTAGCTTCGAGATCCAGAACCTGAGGATGAGTCCAAAAGGAATAACAAGGAACGATGCGAAACATAATTGGAGACTATGATTCTATTTTCAGTTAAAATCCTCTGAGGTTACAATAAAACTGAGATGCCAGATATTTGAAATTCGACTTTCATTTTGATCCATTTTATACTAAAGCAACACTGCACCTCTATGAAGCCGTTTTCGACACTTTTTGGAATGAAGACTGAAAAACGGAGAAAGGTTAACAGATGGCTTTGTTCAAGCGAAAATGCAAAATGTGAAAAATAAAATACGTAGGGGAAAAGGGGCGTGCGAGCACCACGTGATCTGACCCTTCGGGAGAGCCTAACGTAAACTACTACCCTTGAGAATCTTATTGTTTGCCCACCACGACCGTGCAATGCTGAGTACTTAACGCTTGAACATCAACAGTCTTCACTTGAATTTTTCGCCTACCAGCCGTCACTCAGACATAATAGGGCGGTTGATGGTGAGGCACTAATACCCACTTTTGTCTCAAGAGTAAATGGCAGCGAAGGCTTTGACGAGGAACGACAGGTCTTCGTCGTGATTGAGTTTACATGGTCTACCGTTCAGCAGGTATTAAAAAAACTTGATGCTCATATGCTCGGTGGGTTTGGGAATAAGATCACAAGAACGGAGAGAAAACAAACCAGAACAATGCACGAATTTCACTGAGCACGCTCCCGTTTATCAGTGATCCCTCACGAACGCCTGAATGGGATCACGAAATTCGGTGCCCAAATACTACAGTGGTCAAGTATATCAATTTGAACTCAAAATTAAAGTTATCCCGGAAAATGCATCTTAGGTGTGCGAAACTGTTTCATCACACTTCCTAGACTGAAGAAAACGTGTCCAAGAGAACTCAATCAGGTGTCAATAGTATCCTAGGCGATGTTCCTTGATATTACTGAATAAATTCCAAATCATAAGTGCATTGTGAAGGAGGCCCGTGCAGTTCATCTGATCATACTGTGGATTTTAACCTTTCAGCCAGAGACACGGCAGAAGATTGATCGAGGAACTCAAAAATGTGTAAGCAAGATTGTCAAAAAATTCACGGAACAAGGAAAGTAATCTATAACTTTGCTGCTCTTCATCTGGAATAAACGGATATGGGGAGCGAGCAAAACTATATGAACACAACACATTTACTGGGGTTCAGGGTCAGCCCCGATGAGGTTAGTTGGTGTTGGTTCTCGAAGAAAAGTAAACATTGTAACTGGATAGTTATTATTATTTACTGGATATTGTTATAACTATGTTACGAGAGTGCTTCCGAAAGCATTGGTGCAGTGGTTTTGGGGTTGTGACCGGTCGCCCTTGAACCTCACGAAATGTTTCTATAGGACCAAGCGCCTCAAACAGGTTCTGCCGAAGAAGCCCTACTCACTGCCCTCTCGGGGCGGTGATTTCCCACCAAAGCGAGAGGATGAAAAGCCGATATATACATATAATATATATATATACAATATA